GGCAGAAGGAGCTCAATGCTTTTATTTATAGAAAACAAAATAATCAATTATAATCAATATATAAATTGGTTTCTGAGAATCAATTATCGACAGTAAACTGGACTCTAATTCACAACAGTAATGGATCCATCCTTACATAACATTCTGACACATTCTGGGGATTTTGGGGGACGATTCCAAATTTAAATGATGTAATGTTTATTCAAACTATTTGCAATTTACTCATAAGAATATCAAAAGCTTCCCAAATCAATTTCCTTCCAAAAATAATAAGTAAAGTCTTCTAACCCAACTTTAGGAATTCCAACAGTAGGCCTTAGAATTTATAGCTGTAACGCTCGATGATAACAATGGTGTATGACCATCACATGTAAGTCAACACTTGCGAAATTGTACAACGACAAACAGGTAAATAAACCATTTGATACAACTTCAGAATAATATACAGTTGTGTAAGATAATGAATACATCATACAACTGTTTTGTCCTTATTTTGATTGAACTATCATACATTGATACCACTTCCTAATCGACTGGGTTATTTTCCATGTGTCATTTTCAGTTGAAATAATTCAGTTTTTTATAGGACACCCTTAAAAATGCACTGGCCATTCATTTAATACCTAATATGTATACTTCTTCAGTAATTTTTAAATGATTTTGAGGTTTTTTCAAGTAAAACCAATATTCATGATGTAATGCATACTTTTTTCTTTTATGTATGCATTTGCATATTACTGTAAAGAAATTACAAATTCCAACTCTGGCTTATAGGTCCATGACCCTTGGTTCAGGACTAAAAGTTTTACTGCCACAAATTTAACACTTGGCTAACCATATGATGTACTGTATGACAACAAACATGTGATAATTATCAGTTAACTGTAGAATGTGATGATAAAAATCAATGGAATATTTAATTTAATGATTCATACCATTCTACCTGCATTTCTATTTGTGATTTATTGCGAAAGTAAAACTACCTGTGTTACAACAACATTTTTACACCTGCTGAAGATTACATCATAATGATAAAAACCTGTGGTCTAATTAAGGATGTATGAGGCCTCTACAAACATCAAATACAGCATAAATGTGTTCGTCAGAGAGCATCAGTATATCCATACTGAGGTTTTTGTCTCCCAGGACCATTCATAATTGATGTCTGTAATTGATTCCCAGGTGCTTTTACATGTAAAACCCATCATAGACCTGACCTTAATATAAACAGGTGATGTTAATCATACCTGTTGACATAGTATCTTATTAGCATAGGTAAAACTGTTTGACCTCTTTAAGTTGTGATTTCATTTAATTTTTTGTATGGATGATTATCATTATATATGTCCAATTCTGTAACTTTAAATGATGTGAAAAATACTATCTATTCTTTTTTTTAACAATTGAAATATATATTATGTACCATGTAAGAGGATGATAAAGCTAGGAATTGCTGTTAAATACATGAGTGATCTCCCTTTGATAGTGTTTCATGTGTCTTTCACCTTTTTAAATGAAAATTATTTTGATTTCATCCTTTGATATTAAACCATTCCTGCACCTATAGACATTTATTTCAGGGTATGTTGCAATTCTCCATACAGAAACTGCTAGCTTTCTTATATCAATCATATGTTAACTACTACATATTGCCCTTACTGTGAACAGTTTGGGTCATTTGAGGAAAGGTGTCCTTGTATTCAGCTGGTAGCTACCAAAGTGAACAACATAGTGGAGACCGCCACATGCCATAAAGAGCAACAAGGATTAAAGTGTAACATCCCCAAGGACACAACAATGACAGCACTGACTGGTTCATCCTTCAAAAATGCAAATCATCACAGACTGGGATCATGGAGCTGCAAACATTGGATCTTCACCTTAGGTTACATAGAACAATGCTATCACCATAGGTAAACCATTAATGTGTCATAGTATTACGACAGTCTGCAATTATCTCAGTCAGTGTAAATGTACACCAATCTCTATTATTGGAAATCCCTTTTTATGTAAAAAAATCAAATTATTCACCAACCCTACAAATCCATCTAGTATTTGCTTTAAAATCTCCCTCAAAACTGAGATTTAAAATACCTCCATATAAAGTCTTTAATGTTCAAAATCAATATTTTCAAATACACGCACAAGTGAATGTACAAGCTAGCACTTCTCCTACAGAAGTTTCATGCATTTGTCTGATATATGCAACAGACCCCACACAGGCTTTGAGTACAAATTTAAACAGAAAATCTTTTTATGTTGTCTATTTAAAATTCCAATGGCTGCAGATTTCCGTCGAATGGTGCTGATTCCTCCACTGTCGTGTGGTGTAGACAGTCTACATAATACAGCACACATCTGTGATTGTAGACGTTTGTACCGATTTCCTGACTCCAGTTAGACTGGGTATCCATACACCAAGAAAGTGTAATAAAATCCTGATATTTACCATTACATTCATCTTGTCATGAACATTTGAAATATGTTGTTCAATCTGTACATGTATACAAGTATATACCACAGAGATAGTATCAAGGGTGAAGTCCCCAGAAACAGACATCTAAGCTAAACATATTTAGGTCATCAAGCAAAACATTTTCTCAAATTCAGGACCTTTAAGAATTTGATACATAAAATATACATGTGGACCTACAGCAAGTTAGAATCTTAATACAGAAAAATATTTTTATTACAAAAAAAAATCTAAATATTCAGGAATTTTCAAATGTTGAATTGATATAGTTTGTTTAAACTGTTACAGGGATTTCATACTACCAGTCTAGTCTACATGGATAAACTGTTATGAAACCTAGATGCAGAACAGTGATTTCTGGGACTCTTGAGTCTTGATCTCATGCTATTAGTGTGGGACTCACTCAAATATTGAGAAACCCATTGTATCCCTTTGTTATATTACTGATGCTCTCACAAGGAAACCATGTACAAAAATTAGTGTCAGAGTTATTTCAATTAAATATTTACAATCTCTGCTTGCATCAATTCAATTCTTTTGTCTTTTCTTTTGAAAACCTGAAGATATCTAAGATTTCCCTTCATTTTGGGAGATTATCACACTTTTAAGGGAAGGAAAATATTGGTTCTAAGCTGTGAAATTGGGCCAACATTTTGTGTTATAACAATTTAGAAGATACCATGTGTAAGTACATACAGCAAAACTTCCATACTTTCTGTTTTGATGAAAATGTCCTGTAATTTACTGACTTCGTTCACATTTATCTGCCCCTACATGTTTAAAAACTTCTAAATTTATTACATTAAAAATGAGAAACACTTTGTATATCATATATATCAGTAACAAAAACGTTACCATGACAAATGAAGTTCAAAATTATCAATGTTTTCAGTCTTTGCAGTCATCTCAGGGCTCTCACACCCTATTTTGGGACTGGGGCCCCGAGGCCCTTAGAATTGGGGAAAATAGTGGCGTTTGCCTTAGAATTGGGAAAACTTGGGGTCTAAATTGGGAAAAAAAAGATACTATTTTGCATTGGGAATGGGGCTGAATATCTGAATCTTCAGAAAATTGCCTTTAACCAATAGCTTGAATTTCAAATTTTGTTAAACAATGTTGAAAGATGACTGAAAAATGTTAACACTTCAAATCTTATAGGTAGGTATCATAGTAACAAATAGCTGCATTATGACGTAATGCTTCTGTCAAATAGTTAACAATCTGGAACCTGGAACTCAATTAATGTTTTGTATTTATATATCTACAATATACTTCAATTTTTGCAGATCTTATGGAATGTACAGGGTACCATTTCCAAACATTTTGATGAGTCCAATTAGAGAGATATTGTGGGTTCTCAAAATTTGAGCGAGCCCCTCAAAAAAATCAAGTTTGACCTAAAAATCACTGCATGTATGTGTGCTATTACCTCTATTGAATAATAGTGTGTATTCAAAATACCTACCCATCATCCATTTGTCATAAACCAATCTCAATTAATTTCAGTCTTACCATACTGTCCCATTGAAAAAGAAGTCACAACTTTTACAAACGAATATTTCAGTGTAGCTAAACTTTAATATCATGTAACATGAATGTCATACTTGTTTAATTAGAACAATAAAGTAATATCACTATATTAAACCGAAATTTGCTTGAATTTCAATTTTTTTTTTTTTTGTTTTTCCAAGATTTTACAAAGGTATGCAACACACGATATATACTAGACTCACATACACATACACACCCTGGCACACATCACACTACACCCATGTACACTCACTCAAAACATGCACTCATTATTTCCTACTCTTTCCTCTTTGCTGACATGACATACAATGTACTACTGTGTTTCATTCACAAGTCCCAATAATAATACAAACTCAATGACTGCTGTCATCATCATCATCGTCATCATCATCAAATAGTTATCATCATTATCATCACTATCATATCATCATCAGCAGTAACACATATTCAGCATTGAATTTCAAATCTTGTTAAACAATGGTGAAAGATGACTGAAAAATGTTACCGCTTAAAATCTTAATGATAACAGTTAATTAAGAAATAAGTCGGTTCTGAAATATGTCCGTCGTACAAGGTTGACTGAATTCGTGGTATGGTTGAAAAGATGTCAACTGAAATAGATAACTCGCGAGTTTCAACACATGCTGTAAGTTTTCTTCTTCTAGAGAAATACACCCTCTCTCTATCTATATAGCGTTGTAAGTCATGTGTCGGGTACATGTTCCTTGGGATTGAACACAGTAATCGGGGCGAAAACCTAGATAACGGCATAGTTTACACTCAAAAATTGAAAGCGTGTCTCTTCGCTGTGTATTCTGTAATTTTTTGTGTATTCTATGCGTGTTCTTTCGGCGCTTTCGATTGTTATCGCTTGAATATGACTATGACATAAGTATTAAACATGTAAATAACAGTTAATGGACACTGAACACCTGCCAAATCTTGTAATTTCACGACGTAAAAAGTTTTAAAAAGTTCTAACCCCATATCAACTTACCTTTCACTGAAGTTACTACGAGTAAACACAGCAGACTCGCAAAACCTTGTAACATCTCCGGCCGGCTTTCCCTCGACCCAGGGGCCATGGCTGGCCCTATAATCCTAATACACAAATAAAAGCTGTTCTCAGGGATCTCACATTATATATAAATCCATCCTAATGTCGAGAAATCGTTTTAAAACACTCGAACTGTAGCATAGGATCCCTAACCGAGCGCCATGATTCTCTCTAACGTACAATGGAGTCTACTGACTCCAAGACGAGGTCACCCAAATATGGATTCCGCTCATTTGCATAATAAACACCCGATAGGTGGCGCTTCTTACCGGAAATGCAAGTCTGTTAAGAGATCAAAGGAAAATACAGGTATATTTTGTTAGGAAAGGAAAGTAAGCAGAACGTATGAGGAACGCTTTTCGTTGCAGACGATTTGTACTGTTGTCACGCCAAGTTGAGCATGAATAGAAACAGTAATAAACTCTAAAACCGCCTTACCGTTCTCTGTTTTGATGTTATTATGTTAAAGTACATTAAACGTTGAGATAAAAGTAATAAATATCACCGTTTATATGTTATTACAACTTCTAACTCAATTAATGTTTGATGTTCATATTATACTGCCGTTTCTGCTCTAGTTATAACTACGCTATCCTAGCTTTAAATCTATATTTAATTTTTGTATGTTATTTTTAAAATTCTTGACATTTGCAGTACAGTTCAATCGTGGATTTGGCTGTGCCCTGGCCTAGGCGTAAGTTCTTTTTGCTATAGGAAAAATGATGTCAGTATTTCTGCTAGTATTTTTAATAATTTATTAAACTCATTAGGATATCCTGTGTTTTTCAATCTTAACAAGATATTTTGGACTAAATTTCGGGAAAATTATTTCACTTTGACTTTTGATAAGCATGCTCACAGACGTGGAATGTGACTAAAGTGCGATTGACCTTCGACCTTTATCAGCCCCATGGTAACCCTTCAGAAGTGACATTTTCTCTTTGCCCTTCTTTCTATTCTTTTGTTTTCATTATGTATAACTTGGTAAACTTGCTTAATACTGTGTCAGTAAGATATGCATTACATTAAGGTTACGTGGCTTTGCAGAGAAATACATCACGTTATATCTGGACACCATCTTCATAAGAAGATCCAGGTTATCAAACGGTCGTAAAACGATACAAAGCAAACAAAAGCAAATTTTGACGAACTGTGATATGGTTATAGCATTTCTGTATGATGGTACTGAAAATAACTACCCAATTATTTGTGGTTGTCGTCTTTCATTTATTTTTCGCGTTGGAGTGAATTTGTAACAAAAATAACATACCTATGTTAAAAGTGTACATATAATTTTGTCAATTTTAAATACGTGTTTCCGATTAATAACACTCGGCAATATGTACGTATCTGTAATTATTGAGGTAAAATTCAGTATGTTAAGATATCACTTCAAAGTAATTGAAGTTTTAGTAGATCAGACAGCCACGCCTCTAAGGTCGTCTCTGCTTAATTACCGATTCATATCATAAAAATCAAATTACAGCCGAATCTCGTTATTTTTAAGTCGTTGGGACCGCGGAAAAAATAAGTAAGTTTGAATGTTTAGTGTGACGTTTGGTCAGGACAGACGAAATACTGCGAATTATGCAGGACAAAAACAAAAAAAGGATACAACATTACCCGGTGATTTTTACAGGGTTTAACATCTTTGCAACAGCTATTAAGACAATAACGGAACAAGATAGGAAAGAGACGAAAAGATCAAGATCCCAAGTGTCGCTATGGCGACAGCAGATCTATTTTGGTGTCTTCGGTATCCCCATAGGAATCATAGAAAAAAAATCCGATGTGGCAGGGAAGCTTCTTTAAGTCACTTCCTTTGATCACGCAGTGGAAATTGTGGAAAATACATCATCCCCATTCTAGGCGCTACGACGTTCCCTGCACAGAAGACGTACTTGATGATTAGAAGCCGGGACTGTCTGTGTTAAAAATTGTTTATAATGATATACATAAATGTACAAATACTCGCGGAAGGAATTGAAAATTTATCAATTAAGCTTGTTTTCAATTTAATTAAATGAATAATTGAATAACGATATTCTAATTAATGATAAATCTTTTACATTCATATTCTAATTCCTATGCGAATCGATAGATTTTATCGACTTTATATTGAGTTTTAATGAGGTGTATATTTCATGTCAATTTATATTGAATTACAAATAATTAGTTTTTTTTTAAACATGAACTGAACCAATTAACAGCGCGTGTTTTTTCTATATATTCTAATCACTATGCCGCCTTCACGTGCTATCTTGTGTTTTAAAACTATTTTATTAAGTGTGATGTTCATGTCAATTACCTTCATTTGCATATGATACCGTGACGGTTTTCACGTGCTGTGAGCGTGCTGATCAGTAAAATAGTGTATGGATTTCTTAGCGATCAGCCTCCGTAAATCCCAATGTTACTTAGACCTTACAAAAAAAATCGACTTGTTTGTTTCGCCAGGCGTGTTACCTCGTGACAGCCGGAGTGATTGTCGGTCGTTGGGCGTGGTATCTGAGTAGAAGGCTGGTGAATAGAACATTGAACATCATGCGGGAGGCAAATTTCATATCATCCAGACCGACTGGATAAAGATTACTGTCAAAGGACATAAAAACGATATTTAATGGTTTAATTCAGGTACTATGAGATAACATTTCGGGAAAGAGGTTCAAACAGGTATCACCATAGCCGGTCAAATCGCTCATACTTCTTATTAGTATGAGTGTAACGACAACCAACATTTTCAGAGTTACATCCTAATAGAGCGTTACAAGTAATTAGAAATTGACTCAAAATTTTATCACATTTTTATTGAAGTCTACAAACATTTTTCAATATTTGTGCATCAGACAGTCAAACAATCCCTGCATTTTTATATGTCTTATAGAGCAAAGCGCGTGATTAGAAATTGACTCAAAACTTGTTCACATTTTTCTTGAAATCTACAAACATTTTTCAATATTTGTGCACCAGACAGTCAAACAAACCCTGCATTTCTATATGACTTGTATAAGTTAATTAGTTATAAATTTCTCCCTTTTATAATTTAAATAAACCATGAAATCCGTCGAAGAAGAAAACAGACATGGCGATACTCTACCGAAATTCCGCCAAACGTTAGACATTTCACGGACAGATATCTAGTGTGTGGAGCCACATCGCACTACTGGACGAAAAATATCATTTTCAGTCAACGTTTAGTGACATAACACAACGAGTGGAAGATTAGAGTGTGATGTTTCGATGACTACACGGTCACCTTCATCTTATAACACAACCAGTAGAAGATTAGAGTGTGATGTCACGATGACAACACGGTCACCTTCATCTTATAACACAACCAGTAGAAGATTAGAGTGTGATGTCACGATGACAACACGGTCACCTTCATCTTATAACACAACCAGTAGAAGATTAGAGTGTGATGTTTCGATGGCTACACGGTCACCTTCATCAGACAAATGACCGGTGTGGAGCTTCTAGCACTGACGTACGTAGTGTGCGAGATCTACACGGTCACCTTCATCAGATAAATGACCGGTGTGGAGCTTTTAGCACTGACGCACGTAGTGTATGAGATTGTAAGGAATCGATCAATGTTTTCAGCTGTACTATAATACTAAGTACACTAAGGTCAAAAATAGTGTGACGAAATGGTAAACAGAATTTAGACGAAAAATATCCATCAGATGGTAACAATGTGCTGCTCATGACACTTACTTTACTAAGACAGATCAAAGAGTTATACTGATTTGCAGAAATTTGCTTATTTTGTCCCAAATTAATATTCTATCTATATTGTCAGTACAGGAATTCAAACTTTCAAAATTATACATAAAATTAATGACCTTGCTGAAATCCATGTACGTGATACCCGGTTTTTAATGAGATTTATGATAAAACCCTGTCTTACTTATTTATTTATCCTATCCATGAGTCCTACGACAAGCTAAAATGAAGCTCGAATTTCCTAATCCTCCAAGTCGTAGGAAAAAACGGAGTGTAGATTAGTATAGAGTGAAGGGAGACTACTCTGATTTTTTTTTAATTCCTTGATTTCAATGACCGATATCTTCAACCTTTGTTGGTTTTCATTCACGTTCACAGAAATGTTTTTTAATAAGTAAGGTTTCCATTGTTTATGTGCAATACTTCACAAAAAAAGATTCTATAACATTTCCAGATTCTAAATCTTTGCATAAAAATTAACAGTTATGGATTTTCCAAAGAAAAAAAATTGAAAAATAAAAAGAAAAGCTTCATGCTTGTAATTAGAGACGTAATATAAAAACACCTATCATCATGGAGTCAAGGTAAATACATAGAACCCTTTGATTTGATAGAAAACATGCCTTTTATCGCAAAGAAATCGCGTGACAGTAGTGACTGCTTACCCGTCAGTGAATCTTACCAGTACTGTATTGTCATCATAGTATGAAACAGCCATGTTGTACCCCGTTCGTATTAATCAACACCCAAATGACTCACCGACTGAAGGCGGAAACAGATAGGATACCAAGGGATATTGTCTTTGTCGTCATCAGTATCGCTCGATATTCAAAGAATCTTGATTTTCTCTCAGTGGAATATTTAAGTGATCTTTTACAAAACTGTTAAAAAACAACAAAGAAAATACCGACATGTCAACATAACTTCAATTCTAATTCAAACTCGACCAAACTATGAACAAAATAAAGACCCACTGGGAAGTAAAACATGTGTTCTGGAAGGGAAAGCATATCCAGCTTCGTCGACACCCGAAATGTAACTCTTGATCAATCAAAGTAATGTCATGCTCCCAAAATGAGAACAAGGTTAGCAACAATGGAACCACTATTGAGCATCAAACACGTGGAATTTGCCAAGGAGATAACCGTGAGGACTATTACCTACAGATACAGCGTATAATTAGCTACTGGGCCTTTACTTTACGTTTTAATGTCTTCTTCGCGCTTACTATCATGCTTGTCCATGTTCTATTCAAACTTGTATACAATTTTAATGATGGCCCGTCAAAAAATACGAAAAGATAAAATCCACGGAACGGTTAGTCATTGTATTTACGTACGGGTGACAGAACAAACACAGGGGACGT